TCTCTCTCTCTCTCTCTCTCTCTCTCTCTCTCTCTCTCTCTTCCTTCCTTCCTTTCTTCCATGTATGTTACTGGAGATTGAACCCAGGGTGTTATGACTCAAAGCCTCATGTGGTCATAGGTGGACTGTTCAGAGGTGGCTATGTCTGAGTGTGTGACACTGGGATTAAGGATGTGTGATTACTAAATTAGTCCACTGGTTTGGCATAGTTCTGGGTGTGGCTAATGGGAAGGGCCACCCTTGGTGTGAGTGCTACCCACCCTAAATGTGTGTAATCTGGATAGAATATAAGGGACAGAAAGAGGGCTGCTAGAGTCACTTGTCCCTTGCTGCTGCTTCTTTGCTACTTTGCTGCCCTCTGCCTGCCAGACTGTTTCTCCTCTGTGATACCCATCTGCCATGTGCCACCTTGCCTCGGAGCCAGCTGATTATGGACTGAAACCTCTACAAACTGTAAGCCAAAATTAACTTTTTCTCCTTTAACTCTGGGTGTTGAATATTTTGTCTCAGCAATGAGAAAAGATTTTGGTATCAGGACTGGGATCGTCGCTGGCCACATGGTTACCTGGCCACATGGTTCAGGAGCCTTTGGAACTGGCTTGTGGGAAAAGTTAGGAAAGGTTTGGAGATCCTGGCTGAAGAAGCAGCCCTGGAACACTTTAAACTGTACCTGATGGAAGATTCTGGTCAGAGCTCAGAAGACCAGGATGCTGATAGAAATGCTGTGGGTAAAGACCAAGCTCAGGAGGTTTCTGCTGGGAAGAAAAACTGCACTGGCTGTTGGACTCCAGACAATGTGTGTTACGCTTTGGCAGAAATTTGTCTGCATTTTGCTCATGTATGGGGACTTTGCCTAAGACAGATTTTTTGGGGGATCGAACTTGGGACCTTGCACTTTTGAGGCAGATGGCAGAACCACTGAGTTAAATCCCCGAGGACTGAGATTAAGAGCTAATTGATCTTGCAGAAGAAATTTCAAGACAGTCTAATGTTGAAGCTGTGGCATGGATACTATTGGAGGCTTTTAGTCAGATCTATGTTGAGAATCAAGAGCAGAAAGCCCAGCAGAATGCCTTAAAAATTTTGAGTTTGGCTATTAAAGGAAGCTACAGTAAAGCTGTGGCCTGAAAAGATGGAGCAGGGGAAAACTCAGTTGCTGAGAGGAAGAGGACCAAAGGAAAGATGGCCTGAGGCCATCAAAAGAACCAGCAGTACTCTGCCCTTTGCAGCCTCAAAATTGCAAAGGTGAAATACTTCTTTGAGAAGAAAGCCCCAGGGCACCATGTTTTGGAATGGTGGCAGCCTAGAGAATTTATTCCTCCAGATTGTGTTCAGAGTGCTCAGCAATCCAGGCACTGGAACCCTACAGCCAAGAGAGAAGCCTGGCTACTGCTCCAGCTGGCGGCAAACCCTGGCTTCATCCATGTGGTGCTGATTTTAGGTGCATGCAGCATGCAAGAGTTTTAAGGTCAGGAAGGCTTCCACCCACATTTCATAAGAAGGCCTGGGAGCCCAGGCCACGTACTCCTGAGAAGGCGGTGTGTGAAGTTGTGAGTGTGAAACTAAGGGTGCAGTGGAGACCCCAGAAGGTTAGAGAAGCCAGGAACGTGGATCATCTGAGGAAAGCTGTAAGGAGTGAACAAAGCCAGCCCAAGAGAGAAGCCATGAGAGCTGCAACTACATGCAGTGCCTTAGCAGGTAGAGCCACCCAAGCCCTTTGGAGTTCACATCTTGCCACAGATTGCTGGGGATACTGGACATGGAACTACAGGACTTAATGTTTACCCTGCTGGATTTTGGACTTGCTTTGGCCCCATTCCTTTCTATTCCCTATTTGGAATAGAAATGTTTATCTCGTGCCACTGTGTGTTGGAAGCTCAAGACCAAACTGAACAATATAGCGAGATCCTGTCTCCAATCATCATCATCATCATCATCATCGTATATATACTACAGATTACAATGGTTTGTATGACAACAAGAAGTAAAAATAAATTAAGAATTTAAAAATATTTTTATATACACGTGTGTGTGCACACACACATGCAAGCTACTTTGAATATACATTCTTAGTGTTTTCAGTTATAGCTTGCTTTCAAAACTGTGCGGCTGGGTCTTTCTCTGAGAGCATGTATTACCAGATGTGGCTGCTGGGAGGCAAGCAAGAGCAGCATGTCGAGGGCAGAGGAAGTCTAGGGACTGCAGCCTAGAAGGAGGAACTGAATGGGGAGGAGGAGGATGAGAGGGAGGGTGACGGGGCGGGAGAGCGGGCGCAGCGCAGTTTCCCAGTCAGCGCCAGGCAGCCGAGCTTTATGGGTCGGGGAGGCTGAATTACTCTTGCTGCTGCAACCTGGACTCTGACGTTATCCGTAGTTGGTGAGTCCGTGTACTTTTTTTTGGTACCAGGGATCGAACTCGGGACCTTGAGCTCGCGAGGCAGGTGGCGGAACCACTGAGCTAAATCCCCGGCCCCTGTCTTAATGTCCTAGCCTGTCCCTGGATGGGGTCTGTTCCCAACAGACCACCTGCCACACCCCTCTTCTGTGCTTGGCTCTGTGGCAGCCTGACCCACGGTGACATGGCACGGTGCCCTGAATCTCCCCCGTCCCGGCTTCCTCAATCTCCAGAATTTGCTCAAGTTATGGGGAAAGTACAGCAACATGGATAGCAGTGTTTTTGTCCACCTGGAATTCCTTGGTTCTCTGATAACAGCACCTGGCTTCACCTGTTGGCTGGGTGTAACCTTAAACTGTGTGAGGGTACCCCCCAACCTGTGCCAAGGCTGGTGTGGGACTCAGCCAGCTGGCCAGCCTGTTTCCTAGGGACCAGAATCTTGAATAGAACCGAGGGACAGAATAAAGCTACTGCTCACCTCTCCTGATAGTAGCGTCCTGTAGAAGACAATGTGTTGCCTGGTTCCTGATGCCTGGATTTCCAGAACTATCACTCCCTGACCTGCTTGTGACCTGGTTGCTCAACATTTGTTTTCTGAGATTTACCTGTCTCTAGAGCTTTCACACAACTTCCTTGAAGAAGAAGAAGAAGAAGAAGAAGAAGAAGAAGAAGAAGAAGAAGAAGAAGAAGAAGAAGAAGAAGAAGAAGAAGAGGAAAACAGCACCAGGTACAAGTGGATATGTGTATCGAAACATCATGTTACTTGGGTGTGAAGGCACATGCCTATAATCGCAGTACTCTTGGAGCCTGAGGCAAGAAGATTGCAAATGAGAGGCCAGCCTAGGCAATTTAGCGATTTAGTGAAGCCTGTCTCAAAATAAAAATAATAAAAAAGGGTTGGTGATGTAGCTCAGCATGAAGACCCTGGATTGAATCACCAATACCAAAACAACAACAACAGCAACAAGAACAAAAACCAAACATGCTAAACTGGGTATGGTGGCAACATGTAATCCTAGCACTCTGATAGGCTGATGCAGGAAGATCACAAATTTGAGTCCAAGCCTGGGTAATTTAGTGACACCTTGTCTCAAAATTTAAAAAGGGCTGGGGTGGGGCTGGGGATTTAGCTCAGTGGTTCTGCCACCTGCTTTGCAAGCACAGGGTCTGGAGTTTGATCCCCGGTACAAGAAAAAAAAAAAAAAAAGGCTGGGGAATGTAGCTCAGGGCAAAAGTGCTGGGTTCAATCCCCAGTACTGCAGAAAAGCAAAACCCAAAAACCATCATGTTACCCCCCCATAACATGTACAATATTCATGATTTTATGTACCAATTAAAAATAAATTTGACTTTAAAAGACCCAACAATCTATGAAGAAAAAAAAGCCAGAATTTGTTTTGGTTCCTTACGACTACAGAATGCTAATATAGATGAGCTGAAGCTAAGAAGGTGACATATGGAAAGTATGGAAAGAATACTTGTGTGGGCCTGAAAATGAGTCTAAAACCACCTGCACTTGGGGCAGATGGCAAGGTGGACCCACGAGGTGAGAACTGCAGATCCCCGGAAGGATTCAGCAGGAGCCAGCCCAGCAGGGACAGTGCCTCTCCTCCCCCTAGCAAGGGTGCAGGACCTGGACAAGCCAGGTCCTTGAAGAGGGGGCAGAACAGGGAGGAGTCTGAAACTGCCATGAAAGGAGGGGTGCTGTCTCAACACGTCACTTTTTCAGTCCTCAACAGCTCTTGGTGGCCTGTTGGGTACTGCTAGATGAGGCCCAGCATGTTCTCCTCCTTCAGGGAACTCACAATCTAGGGCTCTGTGGTGGGGCCTGCTCCGGATGGGGAAGGGGCTTCTGGAAGGAAGAGGTATCCAGGTAAGTCTAGCAGGATGCTGTGGAAGGAGTTAGTCTCTCCAGCAAGGGGCAGGCGGAGGGCCTGGAGAGGGGCCTGTGGAGGGTGTGCAGGAGGGTGCACCTGGGGTGGGGTCAGAGGATGAGGGAGCTGGCGCCAGATGGGAAAGAGCCTCAGGGGTCAGGCTAAAGGCACCACTGAAGGTTTTTCAAGAAGAGAGTGGCAAAATGAGATTTGTATTTTTTTTTTATATGTATCAACATAAAACAGATATTTATAGGTGTGTACAACAGACAGTCCTAGAAGTCTAGGGGCTACATGACTGAGGACACCGAGCTGACGCACTGGCCCGGTAGGAAGGAAGCAGATGGAAAGGCGTGCGGAGAGGGCCGCCCCGGAAAAAAAGGCCTTCTCCGGACAGCAAGGGGATTCGGGGCTGCAACCACAGCCCTGCCCACTCGGCCACCTCCTTTTTGGGACCAGCAAACAATTGAGATTTGGTTGCTTTGGGGATTTTGTGCAAAATGAATTAACTTAAAAACCAAGCAGGAAGGTGGGTTTCTACTTAGTTTACTGGGCCCTGCAAGGATGGCTCGCAGTTCCCAGTGAGGGGGCCTCCAGGCCCGTCCGCCTGGCTGGAGCAGCAGGAGCCGCTCACACAAGGGCTCTCCCAGGAGACTAGGGGTCCCCTGTCCTCAGCCCCGCCTGGGACAGCACACAGCCTCGGGACCCTGTGCCAGCTCTGGTGCCCATGCCTGTCCCTGGACCCACAGGGACCCCAGTGGCGCTGAGCCCTGTGTCCCTGGGGAGAACTCGGTCAGAACCCACCTCTAGAAAAAAAAGACAGCCAACAGCAGCAGCCCAGGCACAACTGCAAATACGTTAAATAAAAATCTAAAACAAAATATGATTTTCTCTATTAAGGCTCAGTTAAACTGCCTTCCGGGTCAAGTACTGGGGAACGCCCAGCCCCAGGGGTCAGGGCAGGCAGGCAGGCGGGTGGTGGCCACCTGTATTCCCCAAATGTGGGGTGCAGAGGGGGAGGCCAGTGGGGAGCCCTGTGCTGGTCTAGTTGACTGTCAGGGAGGCTGGGGTGACCTAAGAAACCCCAGGTGAAGATTGGTGGGGAAGCCTCTGCTGGGGGAAAACCAAGGCTCTGCCCGCCCGAGGAGGGGCCAGGAAAGCAGAGGACAGAGAAGCTGGTGCTCCGAGCTGGTGGGGCCCCCGGGGTGAGCGCTTAGGGTGGGAGGTACGGACAGGGCCCTCTTGGCAGTCGTGCTGAGATGGGGTGCAGGCCCTGTGGCTGGCAGGCGGGGGCAGGGTGGCCCGCCAGCCTCCACTCCAGGGGAACCAGCCTTGAGCCCCGAGAATGGGGAGCAGCAACCACCCTGTTCAGCCCCCTACCTCACGGAGGCCACCAAGGGCTCCACATGCCTAGCCTGGCTCTGCCAGCCCCCCAAAAACAGCCCCAGGAGGAGGTGGGGCTGCTCCCCAGGCCCCGGGGCCTCAGATGCCATTTTCCAGGGCAGGTCGGGGAGGCAGGTCCCTTTCCAAGGGATGGGGCTCCTGGGAGGCCTTGGCCCTCAAGGCAGTGTCCCTAGGCCGCTCTTCCAGTCTGGAGAAATACTGCAAGAACACGCAGGGCAGCTGGGAGTGAGGCCATCAGTGCTTCTCAGCCTGGCTGACCTTCAGGGCGCTGATCAACCCACCGATGTTCTCCTCTGGAACCAGCGCGTGGTCAAACTTGAATGTGCTGATGTAGTAGGGGGGGATGTCGGCCGCAGGCAGGGGCTCAGAGATCTGGGCCACAATGCCACACTCGTCGAATCCCAGGGGCTGCCCTCCGATCCACACCATCTTCCACAGCTCTCCGGATCCACTGGTGAAGAGCAGGTTACTGGGGAACCTCTGCTGGGTCTGCACGCCCATCACCAGGGAGATGTAGCCCTCGATGAGGGAGAAGGAGAAGAAGTGGATGTGGCCGCAGTCCTCGCCAGCTGCCATGGGGTCCTCCACTCCATTGGAGTAGAACATGACATCCGTGAGCAGCGTGGCGACAGCGGGCAGCGTGTCAGGGTCCAGGCTGGTGACACAGAACCTGTTGCTGGGGCTGGACAGCGGATGGGTGACCGGCCTCTGGACCATCTTGGGCTTTACAAAGCCATTGGTGATGCCCAGGTTCTTGGCTGCCACCGTCTCGCCCTTGACAACCCGCAGGATGGTGAACTCTGACGACAAGGTGTGGGTGACGAAGGGCAGGTCTCGCTCGCGCACCTGGGGGTGGGGTGGGCCTGAGATTTGTATTTTTTTTTTTTTTTGAGATTTGTATTTTAAAAGATCACTGTGGAGAAATATTGGGAAGCAGAGCGAGGCTAGAATGTCAGTCAAGTCAGGAGTTGGCTGGAATGGTCCAAGAAGGGTAAGAGGGGCTGGGCTGGAGTTGTGACATTGAGGACAGGGGAAAGATTGATGGGAGAGCTACTGGAGGGGCAGAAAACAATGAGGAGAGGAAGAGAAGAGCTCACAGGTGGTCTCATCCACCAGACTGAGACATTCAGCTGGGGGAGGGCTGGGTGGTGGGCAGCTGGCTTTTCAAAAAAGCCATCTGGCCACGACAACAAAACCTTGGGTGGCTGCCCAGTCTGGGTCTTGATGCCACTTTGCTAGGACAGGCAAACTTGCCTCACAAGGAACTACCTGACAGTTCTGAAAACCACTATGTTCATTCCCATCAGGGAATTGAACTTTAAAAAGTCGAAATAGATCTTCCGGGGTCCACTGTGTGTGTCCAGTCAACAGGTCCCTTTCTCCACTCATCAAGGGCCCTGGAGGCTGAAGGTCATCAGCGGTGGCCAAGGGAGAAGGAAATGAGGGTGTGAGGAGGGGGTTGGAGACTGTAAGGACATTTATTTAGCCTGTGAACACTGTGCCTGTGAGGACTGTCCCCTCCACTGACAAGAACACTGTTCAGCCGGGGATTTAGCTCAGTGGGATTTCGCTGCCTGCTGCGCAAGCACAAGGACCCAAGTTCTATCTCCAGTACCAAGAACGCTGTCTGGCTGACTCTGTGCCTCCTGGGAGGTTAAATGACCAAATCCCTTCTTTCCCTTTGGTCTCCATTTCTTCCTGTTTGGAGTGCTCATTTCAGTGGACACAGTTTTGCACTCTAGGCTGTGGACTTATTTCTCTCACACTGTAAAAGTCAAGGACATATGAGTTGAGCAATAGATTTACATGTCATAGGGTGGAGTCCATTTCTAGAGCTCCGAAATACTATAAAATCCCTATTTATGAAAAAAATGTTTATGGGTATTTTTAAACCTAGGTATTATTTAATGTATACTTGGTTTTGGAGAAAACATTAAAACAGATTATTTGTCTAACTCAGTGGCATGCAAAAGAGAAAAACAGAGAAAGGAGAGACTGCTCCCACTCTAAAGAGATCTGAGAGCCTCACACGCTCTCAACATGCAGTGTGTGGGGTTCTTTCAAGTCTAACTCAAACACGCTGGTCATAAACCAAAGATATTTTTGGCAACAGTTCTTGAGAACCCCATATTAGATCCTGTCAAAAACTGCTGAATTATAAGGTGTGATAGAAATAATATCTATATAGAGATGTGGGCTAAGCCAGGTGTGGTGGTGCACACCTGTGACCCCAGCACTCAGGAGGCGGATGCAGAAGGGTTGTCATGAGTTTGAGGCCAGCCTGGGCTACATAGCAAGACCCTGTCTCCAGAAAAAAAGCAAACAAACAAACCAGATGCATGCATGTATGTAGAGGTGAAACGACACAACACCATGACATCTGCAATTTGTATAAAAGACTTTACCAAGGGAGAGAAATAAATCTGTGGCCAAATTTTGATAATCAGTGAGTCTAAGTGATGGGTATATGGAGGGCTCATTGTATTGCTCCTTCTATTTGGCTATGTTCTCTTTTTCCCCTTCCTTCCTTCCTCTTTCCTTCTTTCTTTCTAGATGTGGTCCTATGTTGCTGTGTTGCCCAGGCTGGTCTCAAACTCATGGGCTCAAGTGATCCTCCTGCCTTAACTTCCTGACTACAGGCATGCACTACTGTGCCTGGCTGAAATATTCTTTTTTTTTTTTTGATGGTGCTGGGGATCAAACCCACAATCTTGTGTGTGCTAGGCAAGCACTATAGCACTGGGCTATACCCTAGCCCATCTATTTTGTATATGTTTGAAAATTTTCATAAACATAAAATATTAAGAGGAATCAGACAGTATCAAATATAAAAACTAAGTATTTTTATTTACTTGAATCCAATTCTTATTCTCTCTGCTTTAGGGGAGAGGAGAAATTTGGTTTTGGGTTGGGAGCAAGGACTTGTCATGCTAATTTTTCTTTTCTTTTCTTTTTATTTGATTTTTTGAGACAGGGTCTTGCTATGTATTTCCAGATGGCCTTGAACTCACTATGTAGCTCAAGCTGGCCTCAAACTTGCAGTGATCCCCCTTCCTCAGCTTCCCGGGTGCTGGAATGACAGGCATGCACCACCACATCTGGCTTGATGCTAATTTTTCAACAAGGATTTTTTTAAAAGAATGAGGACATTGTAATGTGGATGTTGATGGGATTTTAGTGACCTTTCTCCTCCTCCTCCTCCTCCTCCTCCTCCTCCTCTTCTCCTTCTCCCTTCCCCTCCTCTCCCCTCATCCTGTTCCTTCTCCTTTTCTTTCTTTTGTGGTATGGAGGATCAAACTCAGGACCTTGTGCTTGCGAGGCAGGCTTGGTGCCACTGAGCTAAATCCCTGGCCTCCTTTTCCTTCGGTACTGAGAATCAAACCCAGGACCTTTGCACTGAGCTACATCGCCAACCTTTTTTTTTTTTAGAAACAGATCTCACTAAGTCACCATGTTCCCCAGGCTGAGCTTAAACTTGTTATTCTCCTGCCTCAGGCTCCCAGAGTTCTAAGATTACAGGCATGTGCCACCATGTCCAGCTAGAGACTTTTCTTGGAACTTTTCAAGAGGAAAATGAACACTACTAGTTTGGTAATCAGCTGTCAGCCAACAGCTCTACACCCCCAGGGGGCAGCAGAGCACAGAAGTCTGGTTTTAGAAGCAGATACACTGGAGTTCTCCTTAGACCCTTAATTAGTCACAGGACCATTGAGAAATTGCTTACCCTCTGTCTCCTCCTCTATACTTGGAAATGATAATAACCAACTTGTATATGAGGTTCCATAAGTTGAGCTCGCTCTTTCTTTCTTTCTTTCTTTGATTTTTTTGAGGCAGGGTCTCCCTTTGTAGTTCAGGCTTGCTCTGAACTCACTATGTAGCCCAGGCTGGCCTCCAACTCCCAGCGATCCTTCTGCCTCAGCCTCTGGGCGTGCTGGTATTACAGGCATGCGCCACCACACCCAGCAAAGTCGAGCCATTTCTGTCTTTATTTTTTGTTTGTTTTTAGGTAGAGTCTTGCTATGTAGTTCAGGCTTCCCTTGAACTCACAGAGATCCTTCTGCATCAGCCTCTGGAGTGCTGAGACTATAGGCATGCGCTGCCACACTGCTGAGCTATTTCTGTGCTTACCACATGGTAAATACTCACTAATCATTAGCTATCATTCTTTTTTGTTTGTTTGTTTGGTACCGGGAATCAAACTTGGGTCCTTGCGCTTGTGCAGCAGGCAGCGAAACCACTGAGCTAAATTCCCGGCCTCATTAGCTATTATTCTTACTGCATTTGGGAGACTGACATTTCTTTGTTGTTGATATTTTTTAATACGACTTTCACAGTTCCCTAAGAAAATACGTGGACAGGAAACGAGAGGAGATTCCTTTATCCAGAAGGCAGACACCTGTTCACATCAGGATTACCCAGGGTCTCTCCGAACTTACACCACTATCGCTGATCTGTTTTAGGATCTGTGGTAGAGAGGGGTCCTTGCAACTCACAAGGAGCACACTTAAGAGTATGTATTTGGAAAGCAATTCAAGTATCTACTCTGAAAACAGAGGAAGTAAAGAAAACATCAATTTAAAAGGAGAGTCAAACATTTTGAAAACAAGGGGAATTACAGTGAACAGGTGAAGTATATATCTGCAAGGAGATTGAGAGACACATTCAGAAAGAGAGGGGTTGCAGTATTGGTTCACTGTTACTCATTCCTAGAACATGTGCCATAATGTGCTCTGATTCTGAGAGGCTCACCTCCTCTTTGAGGACACACAATCCACACAATGATGTTTGCACTGGCTGTAAAGATCCTGTAAGGGAGAGGGATGTGGCGAGAAGTGCCCAAAGGAGGACTGGACACAAACAGCCGCTAAGTTAAGTTGCAAATAATGTCAAGAATCAGGAATACTAGCTGAGAGTGGTGGTGCACGCCTGTAATCCCAGCTCCCCAGGAGGCTGAGGCAGGAGAGTTGCAAGTTTAAGGGCAGTCTGAGCTACATAGTGAGTTCAAGGCCAGCCAGGAGAACACAGAGAGACCCTGACTCAAAACAAAAACAGAAGAATCCTGCAAGAATTTCCTGCTGGTGTCCCAGCAGTCCTGAGGTGACAAGTCTTAACCACTGGAAAGGTGCCCTGTTTCTTCCTGTTTTAGGCCCACTCTTCCACCTACAGTCCCACCATTCCTCAGCATTTCTTTTTCTTTTTTTTTAATACCAGAGATCGAACTCGGGTCCTTGTGCTTGCAAGGCAGGTGGCGGAACCAAAGAGCTAAATCCCTGCCTCTTCAGTATTTCTTAAGTGGCTCTTTGTCTTCACTGCTGAACCCCAAGTCACCCACATTCAGCACCATGTGCAATGAACTCCCTGTGCCCGAGACCTGGGTCTCAGTGCCTGATGACTTGAAGGAGGAGAGTCAGCCCCGGGAGCTGCCTTTTGCACTGGTTCCTTTCAAATAGCAGCAGTCATCAGGCAAATGTCAAAATAAAGCTAAGGGGGTGGAAAGGGCCCTTTCGCCTGAGCGTGACTTCTGGCAGTGTCCGGGCTGGGCTTCTGCCAGGTGAACGAGTGGGAAGGGTCAGTGCCGGGAGCATCGAGGACAGCTGGCCCCTGGCCAGGTTAGGGTGGGGGAAATGGTGTCCCCAGCTGATGGCCACCTGACCTGGAGGTGGGGCAGGGTTTGCCTTTTATCTTCCCACATCCCCTGCTAGGCTTCAGCCCAGACACATTTCACTGAGGGGCAGCCACCTGTCCCTCATGACCTCAGTGCCCCTCTGGGACAGGAATTAACTTCACACACAATGTGTTGCATCTTGCCTGTCAGATTCTCCAAAGGCCACCCCATCAAGGGCATGGACCTTCCTTCCTCAGGACCTTCCTCAGGACCTTCCCGAGGGCCTCTTGGATCCTCACCTAACCTGACATGATCTGACTGCTCTTTCCCTTCTCTGCCTAGCTCACACTTCTGCAGCACCCACTGCTGACCTCTCACGGCCAGCATTTTCCTGGCCCTTCTTGTAGGACCCAGCCACTCTTCGTTGGCAAATTTGCTTCTCTTGACTCCTTCAATACTCTCTCCTAAACTGGGCATGTGCACACTGTAATCCTAGCTGCTCTGGAGGCTGGGTTAGGAGGATCTCTAGCTCATGGGCTATATGTCTGAAACACAGAGTGGAAAATGTGGAGGCTTTGGAGTCAAACAGACATGGGCTCAAATACTGGCTCTACTGTCCTTTAGCTGTGTCTTTGAGTAAGTTACATAACCTCTCTGGTTTCCTCATGTATAAGACAGGGATAACAATGCTTATCTCATTGAGTTATAATTAGGATAAGAGGCCTTATATGCAAGATGTCTGGCACTCAGCAGTTCCCTAAATAGAAACTGATTATGACTTTGTCAGCACTACTGAGATATCTATGAAAAGATCATTTATGGTCAGCATAGAAAGTAGGGTAGGTGAGCATCACCAAGCAAGAAGAGTGTTACTCCTGGTGCAGTAGCACTTCAGTCCCTAGAGAAGGCACTCCATGGTGGGGTCCCTTGAGCCTGGAGGAGGTGCTTCTTCCACACCAAACTTCAGCTCTGGTTCCTGACTCAGCTTGCACCTCTCTGATCATTTCCCACTTCCTGCCACTGGCAGTCCTCAGCAGGTGCTGTGGCCATGGCTGCCTGTGAACAGAGGCACAGAGCCTTTTGCTGAGGGGGGTGGCATGTCAGTCATTCCAGCTATGCAGGAGGCTGAGAAGGGAAGATTGTAAGTTCAAGGCCAACCTGGGCTATTTAATGAGATACAGTAAAAATAAAAAATTTTAAAGGGATGGGGAAGTAGCTTCAGTGGTAGAGCACTTGCCAAACATGCAAGGAGGCCCTGGATTCAGTCCTCAGCACTGCCAAAAAGAGAAAGAAATAAAACAGCTTTCTGGTATGTACCCTAGTCTTGCTTTATTTTGTTTTGTTTTTTGAGACAGGGTCTCCCTATGTAGCACAGGCTGGACTTTTAACTCATAGTGATCCTCCTTCCTCAGCCTCCTGAGTGCTGGGATTCCAAGCATGCGCCACCATGCCTGGCTGCATTTTTGACATATTGTATTTTCTACATATGTTGGGTTTATTGGGATGTAACCCTATCATAAGTCAAGAAACACACACACACACACACACACACACACACACACATTCTAGTTGAAGTTGAATTATGTGTACTCTCGTTTCTTCTTCTTCTGGCCATATGAAAGCTTATAAAAGACTAATCCTCCCACTATAAAATTATAAAAACTGGACCAAATGTCTTTGAAAGCACAGGCAGAATGTTGACACAGGCAGGACTTGAAGGACTACGATCCATGACAGAGGGAGCACATCAGAGACATGGGAGCCGAAGATGATGGAATGGTATCTTCAGAAGGATGAAAGGGGAAAAAACTTGCCAGTCTAAAACTTCATACCCAGCAAAAATATCCTTCACAGTGATGGTGAAATAAAAGTATTCTCAGTAGAAGCCAAGAGAATGTATTGCCAGAAGACCTATACTGCAAGATAAATGAAAAGAAATTTATTCTTTATGCCAAAGAAAAATGATCCTCTATGGTAGCACAGAAGAGCAAGAGCAATAAAGAGCACTGAAAAAAGCAAGTAAGTGGCTGGACATGGTGGCATATGCTCGTAATCCCAGCCACTGGGGAGGCTGAGGCAGGAGGATCACAAGTTTGAGAGCACCTTGTAGTCAACTCATTGGACTTGTGTGCCCTTAAACTTATTTAACACTTCATCTTATTGCATGCCGAGCCCAGGGCTATAGGATGCAGAGATGAAAAACTTTGTCTCTGCTCTCAAATCTGGAGGCAGCATATGGGTAGAGGTCAGGAGGAGACAAACCTAGGGGTACATATTTATAATTGTGTTAAGTGTAAAATTAGGGTTAAGTGTATGAGCACAGTATTTCAGAAATACACACAAGACAATGACTATCCTGGGCCAGGATTTAGCTCAGTGGCACCATGCCCACCATGCAAGCATAAGGTCCTGAGTTTGATCCCTGGTAATGGAAAACCAAACCAAACCAAAAAACAATGCAATGACTGATCCTATATAGGATGTATAGGATGACTGATCCCATATAGGAGTAAGATATATCGGTGGGTCTTAAAGGATGAACAGGAGTGGACTAGGGCAAGCAAGGAGGGTATTCCCAGCAAGGGGAATAACACATACTGAGGCTTGGGGCACTGAAACACTAGAAAAGTTGTAGGGAGAATAAAACCTATACTCAGAGTGGTAAGATCCACTTCCCTTCATCTCTCAAGCCATAATTGCATTGTCTGGAAAAATGATAATCATCCTTATAAAGTTGTGGGGAGGCCAGGCCTGGCAGCACACACCTGTAATGTCAGTATTCAATACACATTTCAAGGGCAGGAGTATTGTGAGTTCAAATTCAGCCTGAACTCTGTTGCAAGGCCCTGTTTCAAAGAACAAAACAAACACAGACCCCAAAGTATTATAAATAAATAAATACCTAAAATGTACCAATAAAATTAATTAAAAAAAACAAATAAGCCGGGTGTGGGGTACATACCTGTAATTCCAGCATCCTGGGAGGCTGAGGTAGGAGGACTGCTTCAAGTTTGATGCCAGCCTGGGTTCCATAATGAGCTCAAGGCCAGGCTGGACACCGTAACGAGACCCTGAGGATTCTGTTTGGTAATGGCTGTAAGGCAGTAAGGCCCTCAGGGCTACAGTGTCTAGTGATGTCTCCAGAACCCCAAGGGCATGAAGCCAATCTTCACCAACTGAGGCAGAACAGATTTAAGGAAGAGGAGGAACATCATTAGATTTTTACAGTTTTTATATTTTCTGTGATAAAAATGCATGTTTACATCAGAAAAATGGAGGGGAGAGGAAGGGGAGGGGAGGGGGAGGAGGAGGAGAAGAAGGAGAAGAAGAAGAAGGAGGAGGAGGAGGAGGAGAAGAAAAAGAAGAAGAGGAGGAGGAGGAGGAGGAGGAGGAGGAGGAGGAGAAGAAAAAGAAGAAGAGGAGGAGGAGGAGGAGGAGGAGGAGGAGGAGAAGAAAAAGAAGAAGAAAATATCTTACCCAAGCCCACCACCCAGAGAAAGCCTGTGGTGGCTCAGGGCAATTCTTTCCTAGGCCTACGACCACATCACATACATAACATCTCTCATTTTTAAAGACAAATTATCCCATAAGTGGTTTTCCATATTGGTGAAATCTCCTTGAATACGTCATTTTAAGGATATATTCATTGACTGGATGTGTTATAATTTATGCAGCCATTTTCCTGCTGTTGTGTACAATTTTTTCACAATTGTCAATAACATCATGGAGAATATCTTGGTTTTCTTTCTTCCTTTCTTTCTTTCTCTTTCTTTCAATATCTTGGTTTTCTTTCTTCCTTTCTCTTCCTTTCTCTCTCTCTCTCTCTCTCTCTCTTTCTTTCTTCTCTTTCTTTCTCTTCCTTTTCTGGTACCAGAATCAAGCTCAGGACCTTGTGCTTGCCAGGCAGGTATGGTGCCACTCAGGTAAATCCCCAGCCCTCTTTTTCTTTCTTTTAAAAAATTTTTATTGGTATATCTTATATATACATATTGATAACATTCATCATAGAGAATTTGTACCTGGATATGATATATCTTGCTTTTTTTCTTTTCCCCATTCCCTTCCCCTCCCTTCAACATGAGGCTTTTTTCTGTACTTCACATTACTTCCTTTGGCTAGAGACCCAGATGTGGCATTGGAGGATTTAAAGGTCTTGATGTGAGGGTTACCAAACTGTTTCCAGAAAAGGCACATTTACCCTCCTTCAACAGCATTTGTCTTACAGTAAGTAGTCTTACCAGCTTTTCACTTTCTTGTTTAAAATGAAATTTTTGCTGATGTGTTGACCACAAAGAACAAAAGCAAAGGGTCAGCACTTCCTTCCTTATTCAGATGCTGAGAAGAGCTCATTTCTGTGTGTCACTCACAGACCTCTCCATGCTTGGCCTTTATCCAATTGTTTGATTGGGGGAGGAGGAATCAAGGTTGTTACTACATAGAGTCAAAACATTTAAGTCTTTGTCATTTGGGGAGCGTAATACAGGGGACTGAACCCAGGCCTGCCCACTGAGCTACATCCCAGGCCTTTTTGTTTTTCCAGACCCGGTCTTGTTAAGTTATCCCAGCTGGGTGAAAACTTGCAATCCTCCTGCCTCAGCCCCAGGAATGCTAGTATTACAGGTATGCACCACATTTGAAAAGGAACCAAAGAAAGTCAGCTTTCCCTAGGCAATTCATTTTTCTGTCTGAAACTCACTTTCCCTGTCTTTTAAGTGGGTGGATCAGTGAAGATATGATTTCTTGCCACCCTTCTAGGTATAGATTCTTGGACTCTGCTTTTTGCACTGTAGCTCATCAGGGGCTCCAGCAGGGGAAGCCCTTCTCCTTGGGGTGAGGTGTATCAACACAGTCAGCCAACTCTTCTGAGCTTCTACCTGTCTGGGCACTATTCCTTGTGCTGGGGATACAAGTCCGGAAGAAATCCAAGCCCCTGTGACATGACTTCTACTACAGGGAGACAGATAACAAAGAGACAAGAAAGCCAGGGGCTGGGTGTGTAGCTCCACGGTAGTGTTTGCCTAGCATGTACGAAGCCATGGGTTCAATTCCCAGTACTGAAAAAGAAACATGTTCTAAAAATTCAGACGGTGATAAATATTATGGAAAAAGCCAAAATGAGTAAGAGGTTAGGGAGTGCCAGGAGATGAGGGAGAGAGTCTGTTATATATCAGTTAGGTGATGTTTTAGCAGAACTGAGGGAAGTAGGAGAGCCAGCCGGGTAGTTATCTTTGTGGAAGAAGAGCATTCCAGATAGAGGGAGGGGCAAGTGCTATTGTGGCTTTCCTCACAGTAGCTCGCCCTGGGTCCTTTCATCTTGCTTTTTCCTCTTTTACTCAGCCCAAGCTCACTCTGCAGAGCCAGTTTCTCCCTCACTCTTCACTTTTACTTTTTCAAATAAACCGTGTCACTGCTTGTTTCATTCAATTCTTTGTTTGAGATGAGAAGAACCTGGAATCCAACTCCAGAAGGAAACGTGAACACCACAAAACTGGTAACGTTTATTTGGCGAGTTGCTTTTAGAAGGAGCTACCCAGTAACAATGTGACTTTCTTTTCATCCAGTGAAATGGAAACCACTGGATGGTTTGAGCAGAACAGCAAAATGCCAATGCCATTGCCACTGGGGCTGTGCTCAAGGAGTCAGAAGAGGTCTCTGGTTGAGTGGGCACTACAGGCTTTGGCTCTGGCATGAACCACAACCTGTACCACTCCCAGCTGAGGAACTTTGGTCTCTGCAGCCTTAGTTCTTTATTTGAGAAATAATTCCAAGGTTTTAGCCAGCCAACTCTTCCTCGTGTGGCTGATCTAACTGGCCAAGCTTTGTGTAGGTGAGGGAGGAGAGCACACAGAAGCTTGGATGCTTAATGTGGAATTGCCCCATCTCCAGATGTCCACAGGAGGAGTGGGGGGCACCAACACCCACCTATTCTGAGCCTCAGATGCTTTCTGACTCAGGGGAGATGAGGATAGTCAATGAGTACCAACAAATCCAGGGACAGTCTCAATCACCAAAAATGCTGCCATCCTCAGCCTTAAGAATCCAGCCTGTGGGTCACACATAGTACAGGGCCAGCCTCCAGACATCTATACATTCAGCTGCCCCATTAGTTCTCAGGGAAGGCCTTTCCTGATTCTGCTCTCCTATCAGATCCTGAATGAGCACCCCTTGAGGCCCCCACTCCTCTTGTTTGTTTGTTTTGTTTTTTGCGGTACTAGGGATCAGTTTTTTTTGGTACCGGGGATCGAACTCGGGTCCTTCCACTTGCGAGGCAGGCGGTGGAACCACTGAGCTAAATCCCCGGCCCTAGGGATCAAACTCAGGACTTATGCTTTCGAGGCAGGTGCAATGCCAATGAGCTAAATCCCCAGCCCCCCCTTTTTTTTTGAGACAAGCTCTTGCTTTGTAGTTCTTGCTAGCCTTGAACTCACTACATAGCCCAGGTTGGCCTCCAACTCGTGGTGATGCTCCTACCTCAGCCTCTGAGTGCTGGGGTTATAGGCATGCACCACCACGCCTGGCTTCCACTCCTCTTCCTCTTCTGTTTTTTTTTTCAAATCATTTTTATTTTCTTTTCTGGATGAGAATACATCTACATATGATTCTCTAGAAATGACATGCTTGATTGACAACCATGTTTTGTTGTTTAGTACTCAGTCCTATGCCCCCAAATACAGAAAGGAGTCAAAAGAGGGGAGGGCAGGGGAGAATACTTCTGTATCCCTTCACAGTGCAGTACTTCCTGTAAGTTACACTATATCAAAATCACAAAGTATAATCCTTTTTTATTCTTCTTTTCCAAAATTTTTAAATATTCTAATTTCTTTACGTTTCCATCTAAATTTTGATGTCACATTCCCTGTGCCCATATACTGCTAGAGTTTTTATTGGAACTGTATTAAATCTATAAATCAAATTGGGAAGGACTGACAGTTTTTATATGAACATAGTATACGTCTACATTTAGGTCTGTTTTGATTTCCTTCAGTACTATTTAGATTTCAGCATACAGATCAAGTGTACATGTATATTATATTTATACCTAAGTATCTGTTCCTTTGGAACTACTGTAAGTAGTACTTATTATTCCATGAATGTTCCTATTGTACATTGCTAGACAGTGGTTTTTCAGCATCCACAAGAGAGTGGTTCCAGGAAACTCCACAAATATCAAAATCCACAGATACTCAAGTTCCTTTGAAAATGGCACAGTATTTGTATACAACCTATACACATCCTCTTGTATATTTTAAATCATCTCCATATTAGTTATAATACCTAAGACAATATAAAAGCTATATAAATAATGGTTATATTATATTCCCTAGGGAATATGACCACAAAGCGCTTAGTTCAGGCACATGCTTAGTTCAGTCACAATTTCTTTCACATACTTTTAATCCATGGTTGGTTGAATCTGCAGACAATGAACCAGAAGAAATGGGAGGCCACATGTATAGAGAATTAAGGCTGGGATGGGGATGGGGGTGTGTGTGCGTATCTTATATCCTGTGACCTTGCTAAACTCTAGGTTTTTGAAGATTCTTTGGGACAATCATGTTGTCTGTCAATGGAAACAGTTTTATTTCTTCTTTCCCAATCTTCTCCTCTTTTATTTCCTTTTGTTGCCATATTAATGCTGACCAGGATTTTCTAGTAAAATACTGAACTGGAGAGAGGTTAAGAGTAGACATTCTTGCTTTGTTCTTGTTCATGGAAGAAAACTTTCATTCCTTCATTAAGTATGATGTTAGCTGTAGTTTGTTTTGATTATGATTTTTCCTTTTATGAACAGTGGAATTTAATTTGCTTTTTTTTTTTTAGGATTTATGCAATATGTTCATGAGGTAAATTGGTCCATAGTTTTCTTTTCCTTTGTCCTTCCTTTATTGTTTACTGTTTGTCTGGTTTACATAATCAGGTTAATTCTGGCTTCATAAAGGAAGGTGGAAAGTGTTTCATCACCTTCTACGTTCTGATCCCCTGAACCGACTGCTTCCCGTGTCGTAGGTCTGCTTTTCCCACTATTAACAGGTGGGGAAACATCGCACTGCAGTCCAGCGGGTCGCTCGGCTCCGCGTCGGTCCCTATTGCGGCCATGAGGTATTGTTGGGGGTTCATCTTCGGCCACTTCTGGCAGGTCCAGCCTCTGGCGAAAGTTCCCTCGGGCCGCGCGCGCGCGCGCGGGCGGGCGGGCTCGGCGGCTGCCTTCCTCCGGGGCGGGCTTCGGTCCCCCCACAGAACTTTTGGGTGTCCTCAGGCAGTCATTTTTTTCGCTGAGGGACCTCAGCACTGCGCTCCGTTCCCACTCCTCTTCTTAAGGCATTTGCCGTGGTTGGAATTTTCCATCAATTGGTAGAAGTCTTTGACTGCCACTCCTCCATCATCCTAGGAACTATCAGGGCTGGTGAGGGCTTTGTTTCCTTCATTGTTGTGTTCCTGGTACCTAAGGGGAACTCAATCAGTGTGCTGAATAAGTGAATTAATAAATGATAGGAGAGTAGGGCAGGTACTGCTACTCCCCTTTAAGGATATTAAACAGAGGCACAAACCAACAGGTGGTCTGAGCAGCTCAGAAGCAGAGTGGGTAACTAACTGCCTTCCTGCCCAGTTCCTACAGTGGGAGCACAGAGAACATAGGGCCACACCCAAGGGGCCCTCCACTGCTCCTCCTCCCTCTCTGCTCCTCCAAGGGAACTCCAGTCAGACACCAGGCCCCAAAGGAAAGGATACTGGGATGGGAGCAGGGCGAGTTACAGCCTGCTGCTAACAACAATAGCACTTTCAGGAAAAAAGAAAAAACAATAGCGCTTTCGAGCCATGGTACTCCATTCTTCTAAACCTCTTTAAGGTAGGTTTTCTTACAACTGAAGGAGGCACAGGGAGGGAAGAGCCCAGGTATTCCAGCCCCAAGGGAGCCAGTCTGAGGCTGCCAAAGTCCAGCCCAAGCCTTGCAGTCATGGGTTCTTCCAGATCTACCTGAGTGCCTGACCTTACTTCTACATCTGTGGATTCAGCTCATTAATAGTGGCAAACCTGTAGGACTGTTCCAAGATTAATGCACCAATTCCAGAACTCAGGAGGAGGCTGAGGCAGGAAGATCCCCTTGAGTTAGAGACCAGCCTGGGCACACAGTGAGTTCGAGGCCAGCCTGAACTGCATAGTGAGACCCGATCTCAAAACAAACAAACAAACAAACAAACAAACAAACAGAAGATTAATGTATGTAAAGGATTTAAATTCTGTACACAGCACATAGTGTTACCTAGAAGCCAAGTCCTCTGACACCAGCTCTCATTCCTCGGTCCTTTGCTTTTGTGAAAGTGTTCAGTTAAGACACATAGGTAGAACAGTTATGCAAGTAGGTAGGTAGAGAAAATCAGCTATAAATCAGCTATAGAGAGATTTATGCTTTCAAGCAAGAAGGCAGGCCCATATGCATCTGGGTATCTTTTTATGCATCTAAGATTTGCTCCTGGGTTCAAGGAACTATGGTGATTGTGATGCTTATCAATGTTTTTTCTAAGAGGTTACTTTGGCGATTCTTTTTTTTTTTTAATGAGAGATTACTTTGAAATTGTAAAATGTCTTCATTGTTCTTTTTCAGATGGTCAGTGTCTTAGTTTTCTTGATGCTCAGACAAAATACCCGACATCCAAAATTAAAGGAAGAAAGAGTTATTTAGCTCACAGTTTGTAGAGGTTTCAGTCCATAATCGGCTGGCTCCAAGGCAGGGTGGAATTGCAGAGGAGAAACAGTTCACTCAGAAAGAAGACAGCAAAGCAGCAAGGGAAATTTACCAACATCTTTCTGGCCCTTTTATCTGATCCAGACTACTGGGATTAGAGAGGTACCAATCATCAGGGGACAGACATGCAACTGTATGGTGCACTTGTTTAGTAATCACACACCCTTAATCCCAGCATCACACACTAGATTCAGCCACATCTGAAAAAGCCCTATGATTGCATGAGGCTTTAGGGGGACATCTAGGCCCAAACCATAATGGTCAGTGTTCCCCGTGGGGTATTAATCTTGTAAGAAACCTATTTTTTTTAAAAAAGCTCTATTCTTGGCTGGGGATTTAGCTCAGTGGCATCGCTCCTGCCTTGCAAGTGCAAGGTCCTGAGTCTGATCCCCAGTGTGTGTGTGTGTGTGTGTGTGTGTGTGTGTGTGTGTGAGTTTAAATCTAAATCAGGTCTCACTAGGCATGGTGGCACATGCCTGTAATCCCACCACTTGGGAGTCTGAGGCAGGAGGATCCCTGCAAGGCCAGCCTGAGCTACATCATGAGTTTAAGGTCAGTTTGAATTACATAGCAAGATCCTGTCTCAAAAACCAAAATAAAAAAATAATAATAAGTAAAATAAAATCGGACCTCAGCCCAAAGTGGAAGTGTCTTTAAAGAATGCTTCCCTTTTTTATACTATTGGGTTGTAGGGCATGGTAATCACACCTACACCTCAGTGCTATATTCTTTGTTTTAGAAATAGATAACCAGGTGGCCAGGTAGCACAGTGAATGTGCACAATGCATAATCTTAAAACATAATTGTGCGTCATGAAGTCATTTTGGGTCTGAGACCTAACAAATCATTACAAATGCATTACACACTGGTCTGTTTTTTCAGACCTTAACTATAACTGGTAAAGCACGCTATTCTGGGCTCCTTTGTCCCTCAGGATCCCTAATGCCTACCTGCCTAACAGCAGGTGCTCAATAAATGTTAATTATTGATATTCCTGTTTTTACCTGTGTTTCTGAGTCCAGGAGGGAGGGGTACTGGGCAGTATCTCTGCACACGGTACAGGTGAGGTCATGCTGCGGGCCAGGGTTACAGGTCTCCTAATCGAGCCACACCCGTCCCAGAGCAGGCCCGGCGAGAGTCTGGGGGCCTGAGTCCCACGCCCTGCCCCGCCCAACTTTAAAAAAAGGAGGTCGGCCTTGAGCGCAGGCGCAGATATTGCAGGCCAGGGCGCCTAGCCGCTGGTCCGGAGCAGCCGGTCGCGCGCCACCTCGCCTGCTCATGGAGGGGCGCGCGAGCCCCAGGACCGAGGCCCGCGCCCTCCCCTCGGCGCCCGTGCTGTTCCGCGGGCCTGTGGAGCCGCTCGTCTTCCTCGCCAACTTTGCCCTGGTCCTGCAGGGCCCGCTCACCACGCAGTACTTGTGGCACCGCTTCAGCGCCGACCTGGGCTACAATGGCACCCGCGATCGAGGGGGCTGTGGCAACCACACCACGAACCCGATCCAACAGGTACCCAGACTGGTCGCAGAGCGCACGGCGGCGGGCGGGCTCTGGGCCAGAGCGCGGGGGAGGGGTGCCGAGGGGCGGGACCTGCGAAAGGGGAGGGCAGCGGAGGGGTGTGCGATTGCGTGGTGGGCGGGACCGGAGTCCAGGGGGCCTGTAGTCTGTTGACCGAGAGAAAACCAGGCCCGCAGGGACAATAAAAGTAAACAAAATTGGGGAAAGGAAAAGGGGAAAAAATGGGGAAAGGTTGGGGAAAAGGGCCTTGTCCATTTCCCATCGCCCTCTCCAGTGTCCTTTGTTTGAGAGCTGTATGAAGCATCTCTGAGGTTTAGGGCTCCAAAGAAAGTCCTCAGCCCTGCAGCTCCCAGGACGGCGCTGTTTGTAGCAGAGGTAGGCAGCTCCTCAGAGGTAGGCAACTCCTCAGAGGTAGGCAGGTTCCCCAGTGAGGAACTGCACACTGGTAACCGTGTCCCCACAGGAAGTGGAGACCCTTACCTCGCACTGGACGCTCTACATGAACGTGGGCGGCTTCCTTGTGGATCTCTTCTCGTCCACCCTGCTGGGAGCCTGGAGTGACCGCGTGGGCCGCCGCCCCGTACTAGTGCTGGCCTCACTTGGCCTGCTGCTCCAAGCCGTGGTGTCTGTCTTTGTGGTACAGCTGCAGCTCCACGTTGGCTACTTTGTGTTGGGCCGCATCCTTTGTGCCCTCTTTGGCGACTTCAATGGCCTCCTGGCTGCTAGCTTTGCTTCCGTGGCAGATGTCAGCTCTACCCACAGCCGCACCATCCGAATGGCCCTCCTGGAAGCCTGTATTGGAGTGGCTGGCATGCTGGCCAGCCTCCTGGGGGGCCACTGGCTCCGGGCCCAGGGTTATGCCAACCCCTTCTGGCTGGCCTTGGCCTTGTTAATAGTTATGAGTCTCTATGCAGCATTCTGCTTTGGTGAGACTGTGAAGGAGCCGAAGTCCACCCGGCTCTTCACTCTCCACCACCATCAATCCATTGTCCAGCTCTATGTGGATCCAGCCCCAGAGAAGTCCAGGAAGCATATAGCCCTGTACTCACTGGCCATCTTCCTAGTGATCACTGTGCACTTTGGGGCCCAGGACATCCTAACCCTCTATGAGCTGAGCACACCTCTCTGCTGGGACTCCAAGCTGATCGGCTATGGTTCTGCAGCCCAGCACCTCCCCTACCTCACCAGCCTGCTGGGCCTGCGGCTTCTGCAGTATTGCCTGGCTGACACCTGGGTGGCTGAGATTGGCCTAGCCTTCAACATCCTGGGGATGGTCGTCTTTGCATTTGCTAACATCACACCCCTCATATTCACAGGTAAAGTGTTTGGGCTTACGGGCAGCTAGTGCTAGGGACACTAGTTGAAAACTAAGGGCCAGCCACTTATTGCCCTCAAATATGGTTCAAGCCTGTGTCTTTGGAAACATAGTTTTTCCCCAGCCTACACTGGAGAACAGACAAATAGGAAACCTCAAAAAAATGCCACCTTTAATATACAGAAAGTACAGGTCTTCAACAGCCAAAGTAATTAATGCAGTTATCAACTATAGATATTATTAGTAATATAGAGCAAAAGACAAAAGTATGGCTCATACACTAATTGCTTCACTCCTTGGCCTCTCATAGCCTATCCATGGTGTTATTAAACAAAGTCCATACCATTAATATAATACCTTGCTAAGAATTATAGGACCTAACTCAAATCTTGGTTAGCCTCCTCGGCTTTTTTTGTTTCTTTTGGTACCGGTGCTCAAACTCGGGACCTTGCACTTTTGAGGCAGGTGCCGGAACCACTGATCTAAACCCCCAGCCCCTTCCTTGGGTTTTTTAAAAAGTCTGTCTTCTCTGACCACAGATCTGAAAATCCTCTTTGCTTATTTTCTCTTCTCCTCCTTCTCTTCTTCCTTCCCTCCCCATCTCTGCTTTCTCCTCCTCTCCCCTCTCTTCACCTTTCCTTTCCTCTCTTTTTTGTGTGAGAGGGGAGGCTGGCCAGGGGATAAAGAAATTAACGTCTTTCCCTTTGTGTTGTGCACAAAGTCAGCCATTAAATAATCACAGATTTCTTACCTCAGCTGCTTTTCTGATAGTGAAGCTGAGGGGACCAGGAGCCTTTCACTCACTGCCACTGCTCTGGGGAGTCTCAACGAAGTGCAATTTGGGGTATCTCAACCCTTGAAGGGGCCCTGGTGTGCCTCATTATATATCCACTTTGGAAGATCCACTGTCCTCTAGGATTTGAAGTTTTGTCTAGGAGACAGCAGTCACATAGGAAGAGGAATAGTTATGAGAAACCAGGTATGCCTGAAAGTAACTAAATGCAAAGGGAAAACTCACATTTACTATCTTCTTACTAGGCCATGCTCTTCATAGACGTTACCCCTTCACCTTGTGTAGAAGATTGCTGTAACAAATTACCACAAATTAGAGGCTTAAAACAACAGAAACTTATTTTCTCCAAGTTTTGGAGGCCAAAAGTCCAAAATCAGTATTACTGGGCTGAAATCAAGGTGTCATCAGGCAGTGCTCCCTCCAGAGGTTCCAGGAGAAAATCTGTTTCACCTCTTCCAGCTTTCTGTGGCTGCCAGCACTCTTTGACTTGTGGCCACATCAACAGTCTCTGCTTCTGTGATTACCTTGCCTTCTCCTCCTCTTTGTGCCTCCTCCATCCTGTCTGCATCATATCTCCCTGTTTTCCTCTTATGAGGATGTGTAACTGCATTTAGGGCTCACCCTAAGAATCCAGAATAATCTTTGTTTCTCAAGATCCTAACCTTAATCACATCTGTAAGACCTATTTTCCTAATAAGACATCAATTACAGGTTCCAGGCTTTAGGACCTGATATCTTTGAGGGCCATTACCCAGCCTCCTATAATACAGAACCATTGTTCAGTGAAGGCTTTATTATCTTCCTTTCACAGACTAGGATCAGGTTCAGAGAGGTAAATTACCCAAGGTCATGCACATAGTAAGCAATAGTATCAGATTTTGAACTTGGGACTGACTCTAAAACCCATGCATGCCTTGCCATCTCTCTACTGAGTGCTAGGTAAGCAGGTGATATCTGTGATGGCCATAAGAGATATTCTGACAAGAAAGCCATTGGTAGCTGGGTATGGTGGTGCATGCCTGTAAACCCAGCACTTGGGAGTCTGAGTAGGAGGATCACTTTGAGTTCAAGGCCAGACTGGGTTACATAGTGAGGTCCTGTCTTTAAAAAAGAAAGCCATTGGCAGAAGTCAGCACTCATACATGAAAGAGAGCAGATAACTGAGCCTGAAGAATGGTATGGTCTCCATTCCACTTTGATCATTGTCTCTGATCCCTTGCCATCAAGGAAGTTCTTCCTGGGTCTAACCTAAGTTCCACATAGGCACGTGTAGGAGCTCTGCATCCTCTCACCAGAACACTCCTCTCCCTAACCCTACTTTCCTGATGAGTTTTTCTTTCTCCACAGGGTATGCCTTGCTCTTCCTGTCATTAGTCATCACACCTGTTATCCGGGCCAAGCTGTCCAAGTTGGTGGGCCACTCAGAGCAGGGTGAGTGTCAGGATCAGTCTTCATCAGGTTCCTTGGGCCCAGCATTACCTGAACTGGGCAGATGGGCAGCCATGGCTTGGAGACACATTGCCTTCCACCCGGAGGAGAAGGTGGCTAAGACAAATGCCTAGCTCTTAAATTGCCCAGGGCTGGCAGAGGACTGTACTGGCTCAGATTTTCTTTTTCTTTTTTTTTTTTTTTGGTACCAGGGAGTGAACTCAGTACCTTGTGCTTGTGCGGCAGGCGCTAGAACCACTGAGCTAAATCCCTGGCCCTCAGATTTTCAGACTACAAAGCTGGGATTTGCAGTTAGCTGAGCATGATTTTGTTCTTTCTGGATAACCACAGTGAAGCATTTACTTTCTCCAGACCTCAGCTTTTCTGTCTGTTAAATGAGTGTAACACCGGGGTTCCCTGCTTCACTAGGGTTAGAGTGTAGCCTGGGGGAAATGAACAACCTTATGACATAGGTTTTCTTGTCCCCCGCTGACAGATGGAGAAATAGAGGCCCAGATGGTTAAATTGACTCACCCAATGTCACTGAGAAAATGTTGGGACCAGGATGCAAACCCGGGTCTGTTCTTCAGAGCAGTGGGGCCTGGGAGCTGGGTTTTGGTCCTGGTTCCCCTTCCTCATCTGTAGCATGAGTGATTACTTTTGATGATATCTATAGATGTTTTCAGCTCTGACTGTCTGACAGTTTAATCTCAATTTCTATTGGGTTGGTGCTCATTCTCTGACATAACTAAAAGCAGCTCCTCAGACCTCTAGGTCCTTGTACTTCAGTCTGAAACCAGCTCCCCTGGAAGGAGGATCTGATGATAACAGAGATGCTGGTGCCATATACAGCCCACTGTTGGTTCTGATATTCCCAGACCCCAAGTGCCTTGATTCATTGTAGCTTTTTTCCCAACACTTTCCACTGTACCCAAAGATGCCAAGGGCAACAGGAGACAAGAACAGCCCTTACTAATGTAGCTACCTCCAGGAGGCCACTCTATGATAGGTGCTGTACAGGTGAGCTTAAAGCTGCAGCAATCTATGAATTAGCTGTTGGCCTTATTTCACAACAGGAGGAACGGAACCCAGAGGGATAAACTACTCTTCAGGGTGCACACAGCTATGAGTGTTGGAACTGGGAGTTAAACCAGCACTTAATCCCAAACAGGAGATGATTGCAAAGATGAAAAACCCAAAAGTGCATTTCTATTCAGCTTTCATTAGAAGACATCACATAGACCTATTGTGGATTTAATAGCAGCCATTTATTTAGTAGCCCCTCTGTGCCAGGTCCTTTCCATGCATGACTATGAATCTGTCACACAGGTGAGGGAGGTGAGACTTAGGTTAAATGACTTGCTCCACGTCACACAGTTGAGAGGTGGTGGGGCCAGGATTTGACCCTAGGTCTTTTAAACTCCAGAGGGTGACATTTATTTCTTCCAGGTGCTCTCTTTTCTGCTGTGGCCTGTGTGAATAGCTTGGCCATGCTGACAGCCTCCGGTATCTTCAACTCGCTCTACCCAGCCACTTTGAACTTCATGAAGGGATTCCCTTTCCTCCTGGGAGCTGGCCTTCTCTTCATCCCAGCCATTCTGATTGGGTAATGCAGGGCCCTAAACCTATGTTCATAACATAGCCCTTTATCCTAAAGGTTTCCTCTGCTTCCTGGCTGCAAATGGCAGCTTCATTCCAGGGACCTTTTTCTAGGTGTGCTGTCTCAGGCTGACTCCCCTCTCACAGCTGCCTAATCCTCCAGGAGCTGTTCCACAAGGGCACAGTGGCAGGGCAGGTAGGGGCAGCACTTGGCAGGGCCATGTTTTTCCCCATCCCAGCACCTGTCCTCCTCCTCTGTCCCATTTCATAGGTGGAACTATGGTGGAATCTCCGAGAGCATTCTCAGCTACTTATGGCCAGACCACAGGCCAGCCTGGCCCCTAACTTTTTCCTAATGGTCTGACGAGTTATTTTCCAGAGCTGTCTCTGGGCATTGTCCTCTACCTTTCAGCTTGGGGAGGTGGACCCCCCGGTCAATCCTGTGTCACTTCTCCAGACAGTCGTTGAGGGTTCCTCCAGGTCAACTCTGTACCCTCTCTCTGGTCTCTCACAGGATACTGGAAAGGATTAATCCTCACCCTGACTTCCAGCAGTTTCCCCAGAGCCCCTGATGTGCCTGAGCCAGAGGAGCAGAGAGCATGGCCTGATTTCAAGTCTGCCCTGAGATCCCAGCCCCCTGCAGCACCCACAACTCCCTTGAAGGACAGCAGCAGGGAGCATCTGGGTTCTGTTTACCCTTCCACCATGCGTCACCCTTATGCCATGTGAGAGAGGAGAGGTCTTGGAGGTGACACTTCAGGACCCAGGTGAAGCATGAGGGCTGGCATCTCTTCTTCCAGCTCACATTGCAAAGTGCATGGCACTAGTTCCTCTGTCACTCATGACTGATAAAGCTGCTATCTGGTTAATGCTTGGGGAGGGGAGGTTGTGGGACGGACCTGGTGCCCTCTGGAGGGAGAATGCTGCTGTCACTGTGGTTGGAAATTAAGCCTACTCACCTCTGGGTTTAACAGTGCCAGTCATCACAATAAATCAGTTGAGTGAAGCTGAAAAGAATCTTCTGGCATTGGGGTTGGGGCCTCTGTTTTCCTGCTTTTGGTCTGCCCAAGATGGGTCAGATACCAGCAGCAGCTGGCCTGAGTGGGTGCCCCTAAACTGCCTGTGGGAATGGCACTGGGTGTGTCCTGCAAGCCTCATCTGATTTCTGTCAACTCCTGCGCAATGTGGAAGGCCACCAGGCTTGCATGAGGCCAGTAGAAAAGCATGGGGCAAGTGGCTGTAGAGACACACCTGTGGTCCCAGCTACTCTGGAGGCTGCAGCAGGAGGACTGCTTGAGCCTGGGAGTTCAAAACCAGCCTGGGCAACATAGCAACACCCTGTGTTCAAACACAAAAATAGAAATGAGCTTGGGGCAGAGCCCTTGCTGCCCATTCCTAATTGTACTGCTCTTTCTGGCTGCACCAGCCCAGGCAGGTCAGTTTTTGTTGCCACTCCACCTTCAGATAACTCGCATTGCTGAGCATTGCAGCAGAGCTATATACTGAGACTGTCCCTCGGGAGGTCAGTGGGAACCTAGGAGCTGGGCCCAGTTTCCCATATAATCCATGGCCCCAGATTCCCAGAGAATGAGGAGTCTGTTCTTAGGGAGTTAGGAAGTTGAAAGGCAGAATCTTATTTAATAGTAAGGCACTGGCTTTGATGAAGGCTTTAAGTGCCCTCAAGCAGAGCCAACTCAGGGAGTACTTAACTCTTCAAACCAGAAGTGCCCATGGTGGCTTCCCTCTTTCTCTCTCACCTGCTCTGCAAGCCAGTTGCCTGACTGGAAATCATAATGGTAAAGTGGTAGCCCAGGTCCAGCTGGGGCCTCTGCAGCCTGGACCCCTGTCTCCAGACTCCTCCCTCACTGTCCCCCTGCAACTGGGGGATCTGAGCACAGACAGGGCTTCCACTAACCCCCCCACCATGAGGCTGTGAGGAGAGGAGGGCACAGACTCTGGGCTGGCCTCTGGCCAACTGTGACCTTGAGCAAGCCCCTCTAGGAAGGGTGAGGTCAGCAGTGCCCCAAGCTGTGTGATCTGGGGCCCACACCTAGTGGGACATGTTAGGAAGCACATTAGTCTGATCCTCTGAGATCTTCCCACCCCTAACAGTCTAGAATGAGATGCCTGTCTTCATGGGCCTGGGTAAGGATGAATGAATTGTGGCTGGACTTCTGGCCTCTGAATGTCCCTGACCAGTTCATGGCCCTTGGGAAAGGGTAGGCGAAGTGGGGTAGGAACCACACTGACTCAGCCCCATTCTGGGGGCAGCAGATATGCCCAGCCAAGCAAAAAACCTGGACCCTCAAGACCCATGTCAGAGCAGGCTCTGGAGAAGGATCAATCCTGAGGGACCATGTCTGGTAGGGGCAGCACCAGGCTAATGGTGCTTGTCTTGGCCTTGGCTACAAGTGATCAGTGTTTGCAAGGAGGCTGTCACCCCTGAATACACTGGCCTGGCTGGGCTGGAGGATGGGCTCTGGTTATCCCAGGAGACAGATGAGGGCAAAGAGGTCAGCCAGAAAGCCGGGCAGTGGAGGTGGACTTCCGTGGAGAGTGTACTGAACCAAAGAAAACCCAGGAACTTCTGAGTACTACCCATGGGGCACTCCGCAGGGAGTAGGGTGATTGGGGACAAAAAAGACAGACAGCTTCCCCTGGGAGTGCCTGTACACTGTTTTGTGATCGACTAGACTGTGAGGGCAACATCCAATCTACCTCATCCTCGCATCCAGGACAGAGCCTGGACCTGCACTAGCAAACTCTCGTAGTAAGGGAGGATTGTGCCCAGTCAGAGCCACAGCCAGGCTGGCACCAGTGGAAGATGGGGCGTTTTCCAGGGGGGGAACTGGAAGGAAGACCTCCCAAGCCTGGATGAAACTTGACTTTCTGACGATGTGGCCCAAAAGCAAGGGAGCACCCTGGCCTGCTCCACACGTAGGGGGTCTGGAAGTGGTGCCCTCGGAGGGGAGCAACGTGTCAGGAACAGCCAACTCCACTGGCTCGGTTGGTGGAGGCACTTTTCCCCTTCCTACTCCAGTGGAGAGAGAGGCAAAGGGATACTCTTGCCCTGTTATTTCTGTGTAGCTCCTGGGTTGGGCTTTTGGCTAAAACCTGTCCCAGTGTCAGAATCTGAGGCAAGGGACAAGCCATGGCTCTGCACATGCTCCAGGATGAGTCTCAAGATAGCAGGTTCACCAGGAGTGGCTGAGTGCTGGGAGGCCTGGGTCTGGATCCTGGGGTTGCCCCTAATGGCTTTGGGAACTGGGCTCATCATTCAGCCTTTCTTCCTTATCTATGAAGTGGGAGTGATCATACAGGATAGAGTTGCTGTGATGGTTAGACTATGAGCAGAGTGCTTGGGAAATGGCAAGGATTCCTGAGGGACTTGCTGCTCAGTATCATCCCTTGACCACCAATGTCAGCTCTTCTGGGAGTCAGAAATGCAGATGCTCAGGCCCCACCTGGGGTCTCCTGAATTGAATTTTAACAGGCGTCCCAAAGGATTTGAATGCACTTTACACTTGGGGAAATGTACCCTTTCAGATTATACTGCTTCCCACAACTGTACGTTCTGCCCAGGGTACCATTGCTGCCAGGCAGTTGCCTAGTCCTCTTCCCGGAGCAAGTGGGTGGGAAGCCCTGAGTGGGTGAGGAGCTAGGGAAGCTAGTGGGCCCAGGCCAGGCAGGAGCCTCAGGCATAGCACCAAGGCATGTGGTTGGGTGGGCTTGAAACGAGGCCTTCCTGGGCAGTCCCAGGCCCGAGCAAGAGGTTCCTGTGCCACAGACCAGCCAGATGGCCAGTCTGGCCCAACCTTGAACCTGGATGTGGCAAAGGAGGCTGTTCCATAGGAAGGCTGGAGGGGCACTGAGTGGTTACAGGGCAAGGCCACAAGGCAGCAGGAAGTGGTGAGCCAGGGGCCAGGCACAGTCTTGAGTGGACAGCCATTGTGGGACTCTCATCCCTGGATGCCACCTGGGCCCAGGCCCTTGCTTGGACTATGAGGCCAGGCACAGGCCAGGCCTTGCCCACTTCCTTCCTGTACCAGGCTGCCTGCCTTCACCCTTCTGCCAGCCGCACTCAGGGTAGGAGATGGAGAACTTGCAGCAACCCACCCTCATCTCCTGTGTCTCTATAACAGCAGGAACACAGTTGGGGTGGAAGACAGGGGACCTGATGGCAGGAGGGAGGAGGAGCCCTCCCTACCCCCATGCCTGATTTCCTTCCCCTTCCACATACTGAGGTTTAAAGTGGGCCAGGAGGGGAGGGGACTGCGAGAGCCACTTCCTGAGAAGAGCCCAGGCTGTCTCAGCCCAGACTGGCCAGGCGGTGTACCTTTGGGAGGAAAGGGGAGTCACAGCAGGGCTTGGGAACTGGGGACTGATTAAGGTGGGCCCAAGGGTGTGGTCCCCTCCAAACTGGTATCAGAGCCTGCAGATGAGTCCCGGGAGGAGCGGCCCTGCAGGAAGCGGATGATTTTCTCAATGGTGGCCTCTTGGTACTCGTGGGACCACCTGTGGGCACAGAGGCCAAGTGGGTCAGAGAGCAGGGCAGAGGGAGCTGGGGTGATCTGTACCCCCTACCCTGTCCCCAGGTCCTTGGAACTCACTTGATGCCGTTGAAGGTAAGCACTGCCTGCATGTCCTCAGGCAGAGCCTGGGGCTCAGGCCACTCAAAGCCATCAATGATGGGCACAATGTTCTTGCCGCAGCTTAAAGCAGTAACAATCTCCTGGAGAAAGAAGAAAAAAGAGGAGAAGAGACCCCTGTCTTATCTAGGATCAGGGAGGTGCTTCAAAGGTCTTCCTTCCAAGCCACCTTGACATCTCCTTCATACATTATAGGATAAGAAAAATCTTTGGAGCCGGGTGTGGTGCCACGGACTCATAATTCCAGTTACTTGAGAGGCTTAGGCAGAAGGATTGAAAGTTTGAGCCCACCCTGGGCAATTTAGCAATTTAGGGAGATCCTGTCTCAAAAATAAGGGGTTGGGGATGTAGCTCAGAGCGAAGGACCTGGGTTCAACGCTAGTACCACAAAACAAAAACACTTTGGCGGGTTGGGGATTTAGCTCAGTGGTTCCATCACCTGTCTCGCAAGCACCTGAGTTTGATCCCCAGTACCAAAAACAAAAACAAAACAAAAAACCCAAAAAACACACTTTGGTCTTTGTCCTGGGATGGAGCTGGCCCAGAGCTCCTAAAACCACTGGAGTCTCCTGAGTGGTAAAAGGGTCTTTTGCTAATGACACAACTCCTAACCAGGGTTGACTGAGTAGGAGTCGTGGCTTAGCTTCAGGATGAGGGCTGGTCACCAAAAGAACAAGACAAGATTTGAGGGTTGGGACTTTTCTGCCACAGCCCACAGCTTCTCTTGGGCTCCCAAAGTCTCTGTTTTCTAATATATAAAGTAGAGTTCATGATAGTTTCCAGCTTGTAGGATCGGTGCATGGAATAATTACAATAGTCCATGGCAAATGATCAGGGCAGTGCTTAGCATACAATGGAGGCTTGAGAAATAAGATGTGTTCTGATTTCCTCTTCTGTGAAGTGGGAATAATAAAACCTCCTCCACAAGGTTGTTCTGAGGATCTTTCTTACTATTAATGGTGCTCTCTGGTAAGTGCTTATTGAATCATGTTTTCCTTTCAAGGGTGATCACAGGGGTGGGACTTTCTGGAGTGCAGTTCACTTGTGGTTTTCCATATTGATTGCTCGCTAAATGTGGCTTCAGGGAAAGAAGTATTAAAACCAGAAGCCATTAGGCACTAAAAGCAACCAAAGAGGGATGACGGAGCCTTTAGGACTGGTCCAAGGCAAAGTCTGCCACCACCCTGCCTGCCTCCTCCCTCCTCTCCAGCTGCTGAGACAATGGGTGCTGAGCACCCTCGTGGAGAGGGGAAGAAGCCTGTATAACTTCAATCCTGACTAGATTCTTCTCCATTTTACAGATAATGAGAAGGAAGGCCAGAGAGGGGAAGGGACTTCCCCCAGGTCACACAAGCATCCAACCCGGAGGAGCCAGGCTTCCAGCTCAAGCCTTTAGAGTCCGCTCTTTAGGCCTGAGCCCTCTCCTGTGTATCTAGATGAATTCTGAACCTGCTGAGATTAATGTGGAGACCTTTAGAAATTTATTTCTGCTGAAAGTCCACAGACCCAAAGACAGTAAAGACCGCTCACAGCACAGATTCATTCAGAGGCTGGCCAAGAAAGGCTTCTTCAAGATCACTCAGCTCCCGGGAGTAGTGGTACATGCCTGTAATCCCAGCACTTGGGAGGTTGAGGCAGGAGAATCATTGTGAGTTCAAGGCCAGCCTGGGCTACATAGTCCAAGGCCAGGCTGAACTACATAATGAGACACCTCTCAAAACAAAAACAAACAGGGCCGGGGTTTTAGCTCAGTGGTTCTGGCTCCTGCTGCACAAGTGCAAGGACCTGAGTTTGATCCCTGGTACCAAAAAACAAAACAAAACAAAAACCCCCCAAAACAAACAAAAAGATCATTCAGCTGGCTGAGAACAAAAACCTGATTAAGGTCAAGTCTTGGACCCCGTAAACCTAGTAGTCATGGATCAGAACCACTCATATGCTTAATCATTGCTTCAATTATTCTATAGGCTGAATCCAACCCTATCCTACCACCTCCCCTCCCAGGGCCCCAGATGTATGTTGTGGAACACATGGGTTTTGGGAAACAGCATGGGGTTCAGGGTTAGAACAGAAAAGGTTCCAATGGATAGGGTTGGAAGCCCAGCTTTTCTGATTTCTACACTAGCAGCATGGGCATGTAAAATTTATTCTACTTTTTTGCTCTCCAGTCTCTTCATCAAAAGCAGTGACACAGGCTGTAGCACCTTCTCATCCCTGTGATTCCTTCACTCAGGCCACTGCCCTGCCTGGGGTGCCTTCACTTCCACTCACCCATGTTCTCTTTTTGTTAGGGGTGGGCAGTATTGTGTATTGAACCCAGGGCCTTTGCAGGTGAGCTCCATCACTGGCCCACTTTTTATTTTTATTTTTATTTGTTTATTTTTTTTGTACCAGGGATTGAACTTGAGTCCTTGCACTTGTGAGGAAGGCAGCAGAATCACTGAGTTAAATCCCTGGCCCTTCAAAATTATTATTAGTATTTTTTTTTTGCTCTTATTTTTAATTTTTTTCTACTCTTTTCAAAGTTTTCTTTTTCTTTTTTTCTTTTCTCTTTTCTTTCTCTCTCTCACTTGCTCCCTTGCTGTCCCACATTGTGCTTCATCTCCTTTTGTGTTCCTGTTCTGGCCCTAATTTGTATTTCTTCTTCATTTTTCTTTTCTTCTCTTTTTCCTTCTCTCACCTGTGTCCTCTGGTCTCACTGCTAACCTTCCCCTATCCTTCTACCTACCTATCCTCCCTCCCCAACTCCTTCTAATTCTCCATCCTGAGGGTAAAGTTGCTATATTGAAGAGTTTATTCACCATAAACATATGTTGGGTTGGTCCTTGATTTTGATATAATTCACACAGTTAAAGGTGATAGATTAATAACTACCACAAATTGTCATTTTCTAAGATGTACTTGATGCTATGGAGTTGCTGATTGTATCACTTGGGCTAAGGTGTTGAGATTGATCTAATCAGTTGTCCTGGTATAATGAAAATGAGATAGCCTCAGAGCCATTAGAGACTCAAAACCTAAAGACCAGCTATATCTGGAAGACACCTCTGAGAAGCAATCATTCCCTAAGGATTCTAACTACAAGCAACAAAGATACTTACAATAAGCAACTTCAAAATATCAACCCAGGAGCCAGGGATTTAGCTCAGTGGTTCTGGCGCCTGCCTCGCAAGCACAAGGTCCCAAGTTCAATCCCCAGTAACAAAAATAAATAAATAAATAAATAAATAACAGTAACAGCTTGGGCTGGGGATTTAGCTCAGTGGTTCCGGTGCCTGCCTCACAAACACGAGGTCCCGAG